AAGCTAAAAGATTGATTCTTAACGCTCGATTAAGATCACTAAAATCGTTGTAATCAAAAAATAAATTTACTAGCTTAAAAACTTAACAACTCTAGGATTCAGCAAAAAAAAAAAACTAACTTAAAAAAAATTCAATTCTTTCAGAAGATTACTCTAAGAAAAAATACTGATGCTCCATTATTTGTTTCTAATTTAACCCTCCACGAAGATCTGGGTATCAAACCTATTATAGCGGAAGTGGAATTATTCTACAAACGGTTTTTATCAAACTACAAAATCACTCCAACCCACTATAAAGGAGTTACATACGTTCACGCTTCCGGAACATCCACAACGCAGAGTCAAAGTAAAATAGTATAGTGACCATTTAAACTTAAAAAATAGATAATATAATAAATGCCAAGCTGATAAGTGTCACTAATGGATGGCTTCTTATTCAAATAATTCATATTATGTTAAATCTCTTATCTTAACGCTTATTATTTTGAATTCAATTGTAGGTATTCATTGTGTATGTACTGTTGTAAAATAAAAATAAAAGAATATAAACCTCGACCGTACACTTTGTCTCTACTATATTATAATATATATATAGCCCAATTTGATATTTATATAGAATATCTGATTAGGTAGCCTAAATTATAAAATATATTACAGTACCAACAATTATATCCAACCATAATAATTATTTTATTATCTGTATATCCAGTGGCAATACTTTTTATAAACAAAAATATTTGTTTTTCAAGAGCCAAAATTAAATTCATGAGTGAGCTACCCTATAGCGACTTTTAGGGGTTGAAAATCTTCTCTAAGTCTCTAGGAATTTATTAACAAAACTTTTCTTGAAAACGGTCAAGTATAGGTTCATACATTTCAATTTTATTTTATAAGTACCTAATATACAATCTGTATCAGTAGACACAATAACCACGACATTTTAAATTAATTATCAAAATTAAATCGATTTATGGTAGACATAATAACTAGACATATCATATTATTATACCGTAAAGTTATACCGATGCATAATGAACTAAAAAAGTAAGTACTAAATAGCAATACACACAGCAACAAAATGATAATCATGAAGACAAAAAAATTTTATCGTTTAATTAGTTTTTAGTTTATGCCAGTGTTATTTTAATATATACATAATATATTATGTATGAACTATGATGATATACGTTATAGACAATTAAAATTTAATTTTACATGGAGTAATTTTTTAAAACACTTAATTCTTAAAATATTGAGTAAATTAAAAATAGAACATAGAATAATTTGTTCTCGTTTTCTAATACAAAAACAGCTGAGAATTCGTAAAATGTATAGGTATAAATTATACTAGCCAATGTATACAAAGTTTTTGGAATTAAATTAAAAATCTATAAAAGATCATCCAAATAATTTAAAAGAAATTACATAAATCCAATTTTGATGAAAATCTAAAAAACAAACAGTTTCAAAATTTTTTAAAAATTCGGAATATTAAAACCAAAATCAAATGGTATTTTCAACGATATTCGTTTAAAAAGTGTTGTTCGTCACTTTATATAAAAATGACTCTTGGAAATAAAGACATATTGGGTTTAAAAAAATTATTGATTACACTATGGTTTGCAGTACCTAATTTTAAATTGTAATATATTATATTAAGTGTTTGCCTACTCTTATATTCAAAACGAAAAACGGACATTTTAAATTTAGACGAAAATTTAAAATTTCCGTTTCAATATGGCATATAATCATAATCAATATCATAACTAATTCTTAAAATCTGAAAAATCACGTACTTATATTTTTCATTATTAGTTATACCACTATTTCCAACTCTATAATTTTTGGTAAGCCTTATCTTTATACTAAAATATTAATAGCATTGAGTAATAACCATATGATATTTATTATTTATTGTGATGACCTACCTAAGTCAAAACAAATACCGATTACATATTTTTAAACCAAAAATTTATCAAAAAGTCATATCCATTTCCCTGCTATCAACAGAAATATTACTTAAAATTAAACATTAAATAATAGGTATCGTGTTTTACAATGTTATATTAGTACCATTTTAGTCGAATTGCCATTGAAGTATAGAAAAAAATATGAACGAAAACGGCCTATTGTTTAAAGCGGTAGAGGTGACGTTCGTGTTTATGGTCGTAGGACATTAGGTTACCAGGAAGGTTGTGGAAAGGGGAGGGAGAGATTGGCAAAAACAAGAGTCGCGTAGATGTGAAGTCATTAAAAACAACGGCTATTATGCATTTCACCGGTCGCGTGCCAGTAAGTATAGTGTTCGTACACCCTATTCACTATTGCAACTACATAGCCAATGGCCGACGGGTGGAGGTTTAAGGCAGACTTTCCTTATAAACAATGAAAAGAAAAAAAAAGTAGAAGGAAATCATTTCTCGTGCACGGCGAGGGGTAATTTGGCTAACCCCAGTAATTTATTGGAGGTATTTCACCTAATATTAAGTCGAACCGACACCTTACACCTATATTCAAACCGACCATAGGCGTGGTTTAATACTGATGATAAATCGTCCATGCGATTAAAATTAGAGGAATACTCGAGACTTAATGATATTTTTGAATGGATTATTACCAGGAAAATAATTACATAGATTGAAAGTTAATGGGCTATACATTTATATGTGTCATGATCTTTTTTCTTAAAACATTAACTACACAAAATTGAATTGAGTAATTTATGCTTTTAATATTATAATTATTTATTTGTATTCGTATAATGTTTAGAGGTGCATAATATACATAAATATAACTCACATTTATATCTATTAACTTGATTGCCTATACTATAAATGCATATTTATTTTAATATAAGAATAAATTCCTTGAAGAACTGCCCGAAAGCAATGAATCATATTGCATAGATATATATCATACAAAATTAACTTTTCAAAGTTATTTTAAATAGTTAGGGTCTCATAGAGAAAACTATTAAAATTATTAAACTTTAAAAATATAGGATATGGGGTATTCAGCTAAACTTATGTTCAAATTATTCAATAAAATCATAATTTTTAATCAATGAAATACTAAAATTTGTACACAACATTACAGTGAGTTTTTAAAATAGTATAGTTTATTTACTAGACCATCAACTTGGGTGATATACGAAAAGAAGCGACCCAAATAAAGCACTTCTACTGATCATGGAAAAAGGAAAATTATGTTATGTAAACTTTGTTGTGTGTGTGATATATATTTGTGAATTAATCATATTTCTATGTTATTGGAAAAATCTCTGCACCATTAACATTTTTGTTTGCAGAAAGGTAAATATTGGGGGAAAAAAAGCCAAAAAAAAAACTAAGTAGAGGATAGAATTGTATAGGAAACTAGAATTTATTTGTTTGAAGATGTTGAAACAAAGAAATATAATTGTTAAATTGTTGTTATAAATAAAAAAGTTTAAATTGTATTATAGCCAAGGATAAAAAAAATAGACAATTTAAATACTTATAGATACTTTGAATACAAAATATAATTTGAGTGGTGTTTAAAAAATAAATTAAGATATTTTTTATTTTTTATTATGTTTAATCAATTATTTACAATATCCTTAATTATTAACTAAATTTTAAAAAAATCACTTTTTAAATATTTTATAACTTATTAAACCTGATTGCATGTATAATGTATTGAATCATTCATTAGTTAAAATATTGTTTTCAATATAACTATAATGAATGAATATTTGATACTTATTTTTATGATGTATTTATGTTTTCATAAGGTATTTACATGCACAGACCTGAATTTCAAGGAGTGCTGACAATATTATTAGGCGTTTTTCTATAAATTTTTTTGATACTACGTTGTTATTTTGTTAATAACGGTTAAATTTTCATAATAGTTCCATGCGTATAACAAACAAAAGAAACGTTTACTTTCCAAATTACATACAATTTAAACGCAAGACCCTAAATGTATATACTGATAGTTGCTCATCGTACCACGGAGTTTAGTATAATATTACATAATATTTTACAAAAACAAGACGTCTTAACTACACACAAATATTACCTAAATCTATCTTCAAAATATTGTTTTCTTTTTTTAATTACGATATTAGACTTTAGTCAGCTTATAGACATTATAATATGACAATAGGTTTTTACACGCAAATTATAAAAATATTGCACGTTATATTTCTTTTATGTACATAATAGCACGTAACATTTTTTTATCACACACAATTTTAGCAAAAATTGCGTTTTACATATAAAATAAAATAAATGCATCCCCCCCCCCAATTATAGAGCTTAAATTTTAGGGCTCCAATTACAAAATGTCATCCAGCACTTCTGGCACCCACATGCGCATGATTATGGACTTTTCAATACCCTTTTACTAAAACTAGATTTTTATTACCTAAACGATCAAATTGATTGTAAAGTTAAATTTAAAAAAATAAGATAAATTGTTGCATTCAAAAAACAATTCGAAATGGAACTTGTTTCACCAACACTTGATATAATGTTTTCAATAATACTCCTCACTGGTTTTCTTTACGCCTTTAGAAATATTAGAACAATCATATTAACTTAAATTTCAGTTGATTTAGAACTTTATTTGAAATCTATTGGGTGTATATTCTACCCCAAGGAGTGTACTCGAGATAAGATTAATTTAAATTTAATAAACATCGTGGAAAAACCAATACATTATTAATTGATTCACTCGAAATGAAATATTCTGAGTCCTAAAATAATAAATTTTACATTTTAATATTAAAATATGATCTTAAAGTTTATAAAAAAAATGTATATATAGAATACCTACTGAATGTATTTAAAATTAATGTATGATAAATAGACAATAATTATTGAATATAAATGTTGTCCAACTAAAGTAATCGAATAGTCTGAATTATTGCATTATTTGTTGAAATAAGCTTTCTTTAAAAATTCAAACTATTATTTAATAATTATCTTATTATTTTTATTATTCTATTTTTACAGAAAATGATATGGAGAGAATAAAAATACCTTGATTCATTTTAAGCCTGATTTGAAGATGGGTGAATGTAAATCAACTACAAAAACTACATCTGTTATGATAGCATTACTGTTTTTGATTATAAATCCTTGCGGTAAGTGAAAAATAATAACAACTAATGACTATTGTCATTATAATTAATTTGATTTCATATAATCGCATGAGTTTAATTTTTACTTGTTATGTGTGTATATCAATTAAAAACCTATATTATATATATAAATAATAGGTTATCTCTGAAATTATATATTTAATAAAATATTAAAATTTAATAAAAATTAATGTTTAAATCAAACAAAATTTAAAAACAAAAATTTTAATTTTTAAAACAAAATTTTTTCTTATTTAACGGAAAATAAATAGCTGGATTAATTCATATTTTCTGATATATTCACRTATGGTTTTGGAAAACTATATTGTATTCCATGCACGATTCAACGTACGAATGTTGAATTTAAAATAGTCAATCAGAAAATTATCAATTACCTAACCTCATAAACCTAATACAAAAGAGAATAAAAATTTAAAAAAATAATATTAATAGAAAACTAAAACTTACGTAGAATTACTAGAATTTGGCAAATATCTAGTATTTTGTACATACGTTAAACTCTGACCAACAATATTGAAGTGATATTAACAAAAACATTTACAACAACGATATCATTTTTAAAGAAACGAAATATATTTTGATGAAATAATTGAAGTTTTTTTTTCAATAATTATAATTATTATACTCCTGAGTATTTGTTTTCTTGTTTCATTGCTTATACAGCATTCACGTTTGAAATAATTACAATAGTTTCAATAATTTAAATAGTTATTAATTGTTATAAATCCATACTAAATATAAACTAAAATATGCATCTAAAACACTAAACCTAATCCTTAAAATCGATTTTACTATAACCAAATAATTTATYATATTATTTTTATATAAGAAATTTTAACTAAGGTTTAAATATTTATCAAATAAATTATAATTAAATTAAATAATAGTTTTAATCAATGAAATAATACAATTAAAAAGGAAAAGTACATTATATTATCATTTTGATGATCGTTAGGTTAGGTATGACTGTAAGTCCAGGCCACCATTTTTGGCAAGTCATACAAAAGGGTGTGTCGTGTTAAATTTTAAAGTGACTTATCCGATTTGAAAACAAATCTGAACCAAACTGAGTTTACAACAATGATTATGTTGTTTTAAAACTTTAAGGAGAAATTCCATGTATGACTTATAGACAACATTGGTATTATATAGCGTAGGGTGACATTTCAGCTATCACTATTGTCCGCTTACTTTTTTGTACGTGAATATATTGTTGTAAAATATCCTAATATAATAATAAAGTTTGAATTTGCCATTTTTAAAGTACCTTTTTTCATATAACCATAAAATATCTATATTACTTTTTTCATTCGTGATTTGAAATTTTTAATATTTCACTCAAATTCTAACATTTTTCATTGAAAAATATTTTCTAGCAATGTGGGTTATTTATTGACGAAAAAACTTCACTTATAAATAAACGCATTGTGTAGTATACAAACTTATACAAAATTAAAAAGACTTTTTAAGACTAGTACCAGTTACAAGAAAATACAACTAGTTTTTCATAAAGATATCGCAACATTTATTTATAACCAACTAAAAGTTACGTCCGTAGTATTTCCTATGGTCATCAGTATATTTATATAGTGATTATCGTAAATAATTCTTAGAAATATTATTAATTGAAAACTGTTTTGATTTCTTGTATAATTATTATTTATTTAAAAATTTAACTGTTCCAACAAATAAGTCCAATCTATGGAGTTCTTTAATAGTTTTAATAAAAATGTATAGTGTAGTTAGTAGTTATACCTACTCTCTTTTTTCCTTTAATGATTCTAAATTAAAATACGATAATAAACTATGACACTCATGTTTTAGGCTTTCAACTTTGAATTTGAAGTTTTCGACTGCTTAAAGATTTTTAGTTGTACACATTTTATCCAAGTTCCAAATAAAAGAGGCATATTCTAATTTMGATCTAACAAATGCAAAATAAAAATTTCTTAAAGAATCGTATCTATTAAAATATAAATACGTACGTGTAATAAAATTTAGATTTAAGAAAGTTTTATTTTTTATTTTTTCAATATGAATGTTGGCACTTAGTTAAGACTTTTTTTTTATTTAAAGGAAACTTTGTTAACAATTAGTTTCGACAATTATATGTTTACAATTATGATACATAAAAGAATATAAAATTAATGATAGAGAATATATTACAAATAAATTAAAATTTTAATTCAGCCTGGTTGAAGAATTATATAAGTGAGGTAATATTTGGAACAGTTGATGAGGAGAGAATAGATTGGGTGCTGAAAGGGACATTAAAAGAGTGAATTAGGGCTAAAAGGATGTTGCGTTGGGGAGCCAGAGGAGGACAGTGAAAAAGTAAATGAGAAATATCGCAGATGGTGAGGTCGTGGATATGAAACATGCATAAAGGAGAGTCATTGAGAGAAAGTTTATAAGATTGTGAAGATGTAGAGTGTGTTCAAATCTTAGGTGTGAAAAAGAAGTAATTATTATGTTACGATTTAATTTGATGTTGTGAAACCATGGTTGAGAGGGTATAGATGGTGATATATTTTTGTTCCAAGATGCATAATTGGGGGGCTAGTTTGTTCCATTGGTTGAGCCATAAATAAGAAGTATGGGATTTTAATAAGGGACAAAAATCGGTCCAGGGAATTAGAGTTGGAGAAGGACAGCAGTATGAGGAGGTAGATTTTGCAATGGAGACCGTTATTTAATGCCAGAGTGGCCGGGCACCCAAAGAAATTCAACAATAAAATCTAAAAGAGTAAGTTCATATATGAGTTGTCTGATCCTAATACAAATAGGAGTCGGGCGGGAATTGAAAAAATCGGAGGAGAGGCTGAGAAGACTTGATAAAGAATCGGTAACTGAATGCTTCGCCAATTTTTCGAGTAAAATATATCAATCGTTTAATAACAAAAATTTCCTACCTGCCGCCTTTATCAACATTCGTGGAGCCTTTACTCAGTCCATATACCAACTCTTCTATCTCACCTTAATTCACTTCAACTACCCTCTACATTCATTAACCTTATCTGTCTCTTGTTTTCACACAGAACTCTAAAATTCACACCCCCATACAGCTCTAAAAACCTACGCTCCACTTTCACAGGTCTACCCCAAGATAGCTGCTGAAATTCCATTCTATTTAATTTGTATATGAACTTCATTATTAAACAACTAAATACACTTGGACATGAGTGCCTAGTGTATGCTGAAGATCTAGTCATATTCTCTTACAATTCAAATCTCGATCTCGCTATAGACTCATTAAATAATTCGCCCGACCTTCTACAAAACCTCCTATCCTTTTCCTCTTCTATAGCTTCTGAAAAGTGTAAGGCCATGATTTTCACCAGAAGACGTTATCTTCTCTCTTCAGATATCACTATAAACGATTTTCCAATCCCAATTGTCCAGAACATAAAGTACTTAGGACTAACACTAGACTCTAAACTCCACTGGGCTCCCCATCTCAACATCTCACCAAATTTGCCTCTAATTGGGACAATTTCCTTAGATCGATTTCCAATACGTGGAGGGAATCTCACCCCTCCACGCTCTTAATTATTTACAAAGCAGTAATAATATCCAAACTAGACTACGGATGCTTTTTATTAGGATCTACTTCCTATTCACATTGGAAAAAAATTAATAATCTCCAAAACTCTTGCCTAAAGTCAATTATTGGTGCCTTAAAATCTACCCCTAATGTGGCTGTAGAGATTGAGGCAGCATGCCCCCCTTTTAATATCAGAAATAGATGGTTGACTGGTAAATTTCTACTGAAAAATTTCTCCCTTCGTCATCCCTCAATATTTAATTCCTTTCTTGACATATACTACGCTTGGCGTTAAGTTGAAAAATCACTCCCCATTCTTGCCTCCACGGCATACTCTTTAACCTCGATTCGCGATTTTATTATCAATTCCAAAAAATTACCCTTATATGAAATTAATTATTTGGCTCTCTCGTACTCACCTATAGTTCACACCAACAGACATTTTCTAAACTTTACTTCCAAGGCACTTAAATCTATATCACCCATTATCGTAAACAATCTTTTCTTAGAGTACATCCAAAATAATTTCCCCAATTCTACCTTAATTTATACCGATCGCTCCGTTTCCCCTCTTTCGGCTGGTTACGCTTTTTTCATTCCCGATTTACACATCTCCATGTCCAACAATCTACCACCGTCTGCTTCTTCATTCACTACGGAATGTTTCGTAAAATTAGAAACCCTTTCAACCATATCTACCCTCCCCTCCCCAGTAGCTAGTTTAGAGTTATAAGTAACAACTATATCCATAAATGATTTAACAGATTCTATAAAAAACATTATTTGAGAGACAATTGAAAAAGACTAAAAAATAATTAAATTTCTTGATAAATTTATTTTATTTAACTAAACATTTTAATTCATGGCTTAACTATATAGGGAAATTAGATTGATTAGAAAACGTAAATGTTAGAACAAAATCATTTCTAATTGAAAAAGTGTTTGAATAAAATAAACATGGACTAGAATTTATATCTTTATTATGATATGGTATTATAGTGACTATATTATCATAGAATAGTATAATATGAAAAAAATTTTTTGTTTTGTTTTGTTTTTTTTTAGTATAATAACTATTTTTTAATGTACTTGTAAACATTTTTAATTTTAATTTTGACAAAATTGGATATTTAATTGAAAATAATGACAAGAGTATATATATTATATACCTATAGTATAGTCCATATTAAGAAGCATGTTTTTTGAAAAGATTCAAATATATTTGCCATCTCAAAAATTGTAAAGTACATTTAACTTTTAAGTACGTAAGTACGTTTTATATTCAATTAAATATGAATAATTAACTAACCATCGTCCTACATCTCAATATTAAAGAACTTTGATGCCCACGTCATAGATGATGAGAACGAGAAGACTCAAGAAAAATTGTACCTACGCTTCTTTGATGAAAACTCTTATAACTATCGATACGTTTCTCTTTCCCCACAGGTACAGCGAGTAATGAACGCCATCTTATTAGCTAACGCCAATACAAATACCCAGGTCACCAGTCAACACAGTTTCGTGCTCGTTTTCTGACCTAATTCCTTTCCTTTACTCGTTTATATTTAATGCTTTTAACGATCAAAATGGTTTTATGATTTTTAATACAATTATTATTAAATTATGTTTATAATTATAATTAATAAGTTTTTAGTGATTTACAGTAAGAAAATATGAATGAATCAAAATGAAAATTCTGGTGGATGTTATAGTTTATAACAACCGTTTTTATTGTTCATATTATAGATGGGTTACACTAAAATAAGTTGTAAATTCTAATAATGTAGCATAGTGATCAAAACTTTCAAAACATTATTAAAATTAATTACAATCTATAGATACTTAAACATTGTATACCTATTATAAATATTAAAATTATCTCAGATAACATGTATTTCGTAAAGCGTGATAGAGTTTTCATTAAAAAAAAGCTAAAGTATTTTAAATTAAAATCACAGAATCATAGATTTTGACTATCAATTGGCATAACTTGTGACATTAAAAACAGAAAAACCATAGAAATATTGAATTATGAAACATTGATTCTCAATAAATATTTAAATTATAAACAATAAACATATTATATTCTAAAAAAATATTTGTACTTATTGTAATGCCTATCTCTGGATTACATAACATACATTTCATCATTGAAAATACATTTTAAATTCAGATAATGAACAAATAATCAATTTTAATCAATAATTATCGATAAAAATAAAATAGCAAATTCATGCATAACCCTTGAATATTTTCTTTAAAGCGTTACCATATTGTTCTTACTTATTTTATTAGTTTTAAGATTTATTACTAAACTAATTTTATTTTACCAGAAAGTAATTGAATGTGTAAGAAATAATTTGATACCTTTATTAAATATAAAAAAATATTATAATACATCATTAACAATTCTTGTTGAGAACGGAGTTTAAAAAAACATTGTAATGTATCTAAATATAATTATTTTAATGAACACTTGAGAGCAATAAGAATAATTAATTACCTACCTACCTTAAAATACAAATTTAACGTTAATACTATAGATGGATACATTATACATGCAAAATCATGGTTAACATTTTTTTTTTTTTTTATCCGATAGTCTAATCTAATTTATTTATTATTATTTAATATGTCATTGAATATATTTGATTAAAAAATTATTGCAACTTAATTAAAAAACCTTTTGGACATTATAATAGTTCTATTATGCCTGAAAATGTGCTTTCAGTATTTGTCAACATACCTATACTTAGTGTAAACATTAATCTTTGAAAAAAAACACGTATATATATTTTTTGTTTTTTAATATTGTTTTAATTCCAAAGACAATTTTAACACTAAAACTGTATGTAAGTAAGAATCGCACTATAGGTAAGGCTACTGTGAATTATTGTTATCCAAATACAAATAAAAAAAAATTCACAATCTATAATGACGATGGGTCACAAAAATTGTCTTCTTAATTTATAATTGTTTGTATTTTAGAAATTGGTGAAGCAGTTCAAATGCTTGGTGTTAAGGTACCTGCGTACATATTTATGGGAGACTCTGTACAATTATTTTGTGACTATGATATGCAAATGGACAAATTGTACTCAGTTACCTGGTACAAGGACAATGAAGAGTTCTATCGGTACGTTCCAACATCTAACCATCTCAAACATAGTTACAGTATGGACGGAATCACAGTTGATGTAAGTACTTATTTCATATATTTTTACGGTCGTTCAAAATTTGAAGTTACAAAAATAGTAAATGTTAGATTTAATTTACATACATTTTTACATAGATAGCCAGAGAGTAATTATATGTAAACATAATACGCTTTAAATAATTATGGCATACTATTTTAATGATGTTATATCGTGTGTATACTATAAGATATCTAGGCAAGGCTTCCACCTTTTGATAACCTTTGAGATTGTACCTATTCATACAACAGTAGAAGCTGTTATTATTATTGGTTATTAATTTAAATATACTTTCACTAATTATGACCAGAACTGAAATGTTATTGAATATTCACAATTTTCAATTTAAAAAAAGAGTAAGAATGAATAACTTTTACTTTAAAACGTCATTCGTATATTTATCATTTGATAACGTCAGACACTCGTAAATGGATAACGCATTGGAAGTTTTCCTTCCAAAAGATAAATAATATTATTATAATAACAAAAATATTAAAATAAATTTTCAGTATCTTATCACTAACAGTATTAATTTTTTGCTTGTAAGTCAAATACTAGTTAAAATCAATAAAACAAAAATGTTATATTTAAAATACAACCGAAATCCATAAAATGTTTAATTGAGAATAACGCAAACTTCTTATAAAAATTACTTATAATATAATCGCTTTCTGAAACATATCAATGCTATTATGTTGTCATTTACAATTTCTTCTCTTTTACAGTATTCTTTGTAAACATTTTCTAGAAGTAGTTGTGAAGAGATCTCTTTCAACATTTAAAAAAATATAAGCAGGTAAAATTACATTTTTATAAATTAATCACGAAGTCAGTAATCCTACTGCTTTTTCAAGCCTTTTTTGATGTATATACTGCCATAAATAACTCATTATTAATAACCGTTTGTTAGAGTTTTACATATTTTAATTCTACATGAAAATGAAAAAATATGTTTTTAAAGTTTAAATGAAATTAATAGATTACCTACGTCCTACACCACAAATTCGTAACCTACAACACAGTAATCTAAAATTTAAAATTTGAATGCATTCAAAATATATATAAACTATTAGTTCAATAATCAATAATTATACTTACATCAACTTTTTTTTATTAAAATGTTAAGCTTCAGATTATGATATTAAAAATAATATAGTTGGACGTTTAAAATTAAAAGTTGTAAGGGGGTTCACCGCTAAGCAAAAAGGAGGAAGTAAAAATATTAAAATTTCTTGTGACTTATATTTTCCGTCAATATAATTCTTATCGAAATGATGAGTATTCACTGAAAAAATACAATACTTGTATAGTTGTATACTATAGAAGAGTAGCAAATTAATACAAAATTAAACATTAAAAATATTGTGAATATTCGATATTCCTTCAAATTTCCTAAACAACAGATAATTAAACTATCTTAACAACGGTTATGAGAATCAAACAATTGATATAACCCAACAAGGTAACCTACATACTCACCTACATAACTTGTGAAGTTATGTGTATAATAGTTAGATAATATTAATATTAAAATATACGATTTACATTGTAAATAGTTTTAGTTGAATACCTAACTGTATACAGCGTAATACCTATCTATACAAACCATAACCGATATTTTATTAAATTTAATAACTTGAATATTAAAATCATGTAATGTTTTAGTTTTTATAAGTTAAATTTACTAAAATATAACAAATAGTTTATCGTTATCTTGGAAACTTAAATGAATTATAAATCAAACCAAAACCCATTTATAGAAACAGTAGAAGGACATTGCAACATAACAGTTTTATAACAACATATTATTTACATATGCTTAAAAAATTAAAAGAACAAAAAATTAAAATAATATTTTCGTATGTTTTACTTATATGTGGTAAGGTACATAAAGGTAAGGAACACATTTTCTCATTCGTAAATTTTTGATTTATTAAAAAGAAATATATTTGAGTTCGATAAATGTTTCTCATAATGATTAAATATTGAGAAGTAATAACAGTTTGAAGTTATATTTTTAAAATTTTTCCTGAAATTAATTTCTAAAAAGTATTGAATTATTATATTCATACAAAAATGTAATATATATTTCCACCAGTTAAAGTAATGATTAAAACAATTAAATAGAATATGAAATAGCAGTATTTTTTTGTTTTTATTACTTACCATACCAAACAAACAATGAATGCATCAGTGCATCACTATCAAGAGTCATGTGTCTTATATTTGTATCGAGAGAGCTACTGTTATATCTTAGTATATGGAAGGCAATGAACCATAAAAAGATAAAAGATATCATTCAATAGATGCTAACATTATACTTGAATTAAAAATGTACCAATTATAATTTAGAGGTTGAATATAATTGTAAATCGTGCATTGACAATATTCGGATAAACATATTATTATGATATATGATTATTGACCGTAGTAGATAATTGTTTAGGTGATCCACTTTGGTGATCGTATCATATAGTATTCATATTAAAACATTTTAAACTTACTATCGTATAGTTTAGTAATTACATTCTAAAAATTCAAAAGGAAGCCTGGAGTTCGTACAATCGTACTTGAAATGGGTTTTCGATAATAGGTTTTCTATCTCACATGATTAATGAATAATGATAAATTAACTACTTCCATAGTTCCATCCGATCACAAAATACGTTGCAATAAGATATATCTTTTAACTCTTTGAGTGATACTTTGTTTCGGTTTTAAAATACAGTTTTGGTTTGAATAGCACAAAACACTGACACATGGGAATTATATTATATTAATTACGGACGTTTATGTTTGTTTCGCAACTGTCAATATATTTTAATACACGCTGGGCTCGTGCAGCTGAAGCTAGAGCACTTGCCGAGGTATCTATTTGTCTATTATTACTGGCTAAAACCGCAATTTAATTGTCAAAGCTTGTGTAATTAGCCGCCACCAACTATAGAAGCCAACGTGATAATATTAAAATGACGAGGGCTGCTACAAAAGTGATTACGCTGCGCTCTCTCCACTCTGACACCGTAACGTCTGCTGATGACATCACAATGTAATTCAACACATTAATCCGTGCGGGTCGTTACAACTATACCGATTGCCGATAAAACTGTTTCGTTAAGACCATCTTCGTTTTTCAGTTTAATAATATGTTCAAATTATAAGTACAATATATTTATGAGTACCTACCTACCTATTTGTTTGTCACAAGTACTTGATAAATTCGACATTCGTATGTTATCGCGAATCGTTAAAATTATGGTAACAATAATGTCAAGCAAAATCCTAATAATCTAAAAATAAAATATAGAAAAGGTTCAATTAGTAGTATTAATTAAAAGAGTATAATATGATTTTTAGGTTTTATTATTAAGTATATTAACTGATTGAGAATTGTGAAGCGTTTTAAGTCTTAAGTATGGAAAAAATAGCCCTACCTATGTATAATATTAGATTGATTTATTGTCATTTTATTACCTATCCGCATTAGCACAACTAGACATATGAACAAAACTCCAGATTTTTTGTGTATTAATGAGACCTAACTTTTTAAACAATTTTTTTAGGGTATTAATTTTGACTCGGGTGGCGCTAAACACCCAAAGTACCCTCCCTACTAGTTGCACCAATGATTATCTGACATATTGTTCTATCGTGATGTGTATTATCGAAACATTTTATCGGCTTTAAGTTGAGGGAGAGCGCATAAGTCTTTAAATTATGTATTTTTTTGAAGTTGTTGTTTTTTTATTTCTAATTTTGAATCCTTGTAATAGATTTAATTTTCATATATCCTTACTAATGTTTATCTACAATGGAAATAAGCCACAGATTAGAATGGAAAAAAACACTCAAAGATTAATAAAAATCATGATATGAACAGTTTTATTATTTGTATTTTCTATTACATAAATAATTATTCACTTATATCAACTGAATGTCAGAATATATCCATCCCTAAGATAACATAATATGAATCCACTGATCACTACTGTAGAATACATCTAATTAACTGTCTATTCAAAAATACAAAACAAACCTAGTAAATAAAAAACTTTCTTAAATATAATTTTCTTATATAACATCATCTTTATTTCGAATTCAACAATTAGTATACACAACTTAGTAACTTGGCTTAAATGTATAGCACTTAAATACTGAAATATTAAATACTATTTTTTACTGAAAATTTGTATTATTTCAGATTCAGTAATTTTTTTCCAACCTTTGATTTATTTTCATTTTTTAACAATTAATTTGTATTGATTTCGAATAACAGTAGATATTTGTTACAATTTTATGAGATTTAGCTGCTTATTATTATACACTGTTAAACTTGTCTCATTTTTATTTCTAGGTCATATAAATCTAAAACCTAATATTGGTCAATATTATTGTATTAATTCCTGGCATTGCGTTCAATTATCAAATTTAGTTTAATCTAGAATAATTAAATTTCAGTATCCATCGTCCATCCATTCACGAATAATTTACTGAATATTCGACAATTTAAAATTGATGTTAAAATCATCAGAAGTTATAATTTATATTTAAATTTATAAAAGAATACCTAAAAGATGTTTAAAATTATGATTTACAGCATGCTTACTCGGACAGCAAAAAAGTCACCTTACGCTACGCTAATTTGTTGATGAATGGCGAATACAAATGTGAGGTATCTGCTGAAGCACCATTCTTTACAACTGTGCACGCTGAATCCAAAATGGCCATAATAAGTAAGCTCACTTAAAAGTTGATTATTTAAGTTTAAAAAAATATTTGTATAAAATTATTAGATAAAAATTGGTTTCATGATTAAATTATAACGTTGAGCAACTTTTCCCTTGTATTTTCATAAATATAATTTAATTTTAACTAATTGATTTGAATAAAATTCTTTACGTAGGTTGTAGGTACACAAAAAATAAATATTTAATAGTGAATACTTAATACAAATTTTATCATTAAGTTGATTACTTATATTATAGATAATAGATATTGGTATTTTACATTTTATGTGCACATACAGAATGTAACAGAAAGACCAGAAAGACAAATTTTCAAATCTTAGATTTAAAAGGAAAATTTTTTATGAATTTCTACCTTAAAATAATTTGCGAATTTTCGTGATTTTTACGTATGTTGTCATTTTATTATTATATACATTTATTCAATTGCTATTGTAAAAATATATTAGGAGCATTGTACTAAATTTTCAAATCTTAGATATAAAAGAAAAACATTTATGAATTTCTATCTAAAATAATTTGAAGATTGCCGTAATTTTTACGTATTTAGTCAAAATTTGAACTTTAAATGCTAATAAAAAAAAATCGTGCCTATGTATTTTTAATATTTTTTAACTGCTATTGTAATAATATGTTAAGTGTCTTGAATTAAATGTTCAAGCTTTTCTACCAAACAAATACATTTTTATCAATATTTATAGAAAAAAAAAACTAAAAAGTTGAAAAATTAAAATGTCAGTAAACAGCTCAAACCAAATCAAAATATTTTGAAAATTTTATCAAGTGTATAAAAAATGCCTATTTCAGCATTCAGTGAAAATATCAAGTATATGGGATTATTTGTTTTAGAGTTACACCAAAAACCAAAATTTGTCAAAAACTGATTGTGCGTAAAATTTCCCGTTTTTTCTTTAATTTTTAATTTTTTTATCCCGACTATTTAGAAATAATATTGAGAATTTTTTACTTTTTTCCCCCCCCCCCCAAATACCAATTAGATTCACTTTATGATCAAATGAGGTACTGAAGTCGAAAATCGAAGCACTTTTACTGCCACAAAACGTGATAACAGACACAAACAAATAACACATCATGGTAAAATCAATACATTCCTCGCTCCGCTCAGAATCTAAAATAAACTACTTAACTTAGATAAATCATTTTACCATCAAAATTGTTCTTATAATCAGATTCACAAATAATTTATTTTGAATTTATCCAAAAAATTGTTATTTAATTAAAAATTTTTCAGTAAAATAAACATAAAAAACATTATTATACATGTAAGTTCTAGGGTCACTTAATGAATAAAAAAATAAATAAATAAAAAATATTAATTTTAATAAAAGTTATTCCAAAAGTCATGTTCATATATTTTTTAATTAATACATAAATATAAGTATAATTATAAATGTTTGCCCACTAGTACCAATTTTAACTAGAAGTCTGGAGTCTGACTAATAAATTCTTAGGTACCTAAACATTTATTCACTTCAAATTGTTATTCTCCCATAATATTTAAGAAGATCTAATATTACAATTGTAGACTTTATGAATTCTCAATTAAAAATCAATAATACAAAGTATATGTTAACAGATAACGATTTTTTAACTGTTAAACAGGTCAAAATGAACCTATGTATTTTTATGTAGTAAATATTGATGTCTATGTACAATGTACATATTTTCATAGAATTCTATTATCTATCTGTTATATCATATTAAGTATTCTTTATTACATCAAATAATACAAATTAAATAATATTCTGTTATACATTATTAGGTGTCTAAAGAAGTCACTGTAATGGAGATGTTAAATTTTTAACTGAATTACCTATACAAAATCATTTATTAGAAAAATGATTCTGAGTGAAGGCAATCAGTCAGCCTATGTCATTAGGTATATTTTATGATATTGTTATTGTGTATAAAATGATTTATTTTGCTAAAAAATTATATTTAAAAATATTATTGTGAGTACCTATACTTAAAATAACGTAAATAATTAAAATGATTGTTCTACATATAAATATTTGATTTCATCCAAATTTTAATTTAAAATGTCTATAAAAATAAATGTGCTTATACAATTTTTTAGATTTTTGGGAACAGTATGAACTATTTATGAGAATCTTTATATTCAAATTTAAATACTTAGCTACAAAAATTGAACGCATAATACATTTTTAATTACTAACTAACTAACAAATTTTCAAGAATTTAAAATACTTCTACTGTAGTCACGATTTTTTTTATATATCTTTAATATCTTTAAACTGTTATTATAATAAGTAACATTTCATTAAATTTAAATCATTTCGACCCAACGAAAAAAGTTTTATTGAAATTTATAAAAAAACAAACAAACAAAATTTTAATTTTCAAAAGTCAACCTAACCTAACCTTAAAATGAGCGAAAATATTTCTATATGTATAAAATAATAAAATAAACATTTAGTGAAAATGTGAAGTACCTTTACGATTATTAATTTTTGAAATTAAACCAAATAAGAAGACAATCGTTTTATATAAGACTCATTTCAAACGTTCATTAAAAATTAATTTGAATTTCCTGATAACTTTCTTTTTTATGTTGAAAACAATGTGGGGAATATTGAAATATTTTGAACATTTTAAGGTGCATAGAATAATTTTCATATAAACTTTAAGTATCTATGGTTATTTTTTTTAGAGTTTCACAAAAACCTAAATCTAAACATAAAAAGTAATTTTATGCAGAGATTTTAGTTTTTCGGTTTTTTTCTTCAACGCTTTTAAACACTACAGGAAATTATCAATTTTGGACCCCCGAATGCACCAACTAGATTCATTTTTCCGCCAAAAAAGATGCTTAAGTATTGAAAATCTATAATTATATCAATTGTTTACAGTGTAAACAGATACAAATACAAATCATTGTAAAATCAATAAATTCATCGTTCCGGTCAGAATTTAAAATATGCAAGAATTATTACTATAAATTTATATTCAAAAATGGTTCAACTTATATGACCACCTAGGTATTTAAACATTATAACGAGTGTTTGAAGTATGAGATATTTCACTAAAACGTGAAACATTCAAATTTTTTCTAAAACAAATATTAATGAATAATGATGAATATTTACCGATAATCTAACCAAAGAAAATCATCACTAATAAATAGTTAGTAATTGTTTTCCCTAATATTATGAAATTGTGAAAGTAATTATACGTAAAAATAAAACTTATTTAAAAAAAAAAAAATGTTTATAATACTAAAATGCTTTACAGTTGTAAATTTCATGAAATTTTCAAACGTTAACTACAACGTTATATTAATTGCTAACAATATTTTAAATAAGGATATAATTTGTTATTATTTGTGAAATATAGATAGGTTCTTCAAGTATATATCTTCAAACATTTTGATTGGGATAAGTCATTATTAGTTTTACGTGATCCATTAAAGAATTTTGTTATTCTTATCTAAATTGACTAACTTGAAACATTTTAAAAGTTACAAAAACAAAATATTTAATCTAATAAAACTTAATTTGTATTATAACATTATATTAACGATGCAATATAAATGTATTCATTTAAAATACCATTACACATTTTTAAGAACAGATAAGCCAAATGGAAAATTTATTATTTTCATAATTATATAAAATGTAATGATGGCTAGTTCGGCTTTGCTAATACGTACTGTTAAACATTCGTTAATTTCATTGTTTATCAATAATTTTAAACACTAATAAAAATAATAATAAATGGTGTTAATCAGAATGAATTAACAAATAATTAAACAATTATATAATGTAATATCAATTGTAAAATATAATATAATATCAATTAATCACAAATTATTTTCTATATTTTTTTGAAAATAGCAACATCTCACATAATAAATGTTTTTGCATATCGATTCAAGATATTACATATAATATATGTACTTGTAAAACAAGATGAATGAATTTAAAAATATATATATAAATACAGGTAGTACAACAGTAAAGTTACTATTGATCTTTGTATAGTTTTTAATTATATAGTTCAATATTATCAAAATAAAAATAGTTAGCAATTATTTATATTAATAACCTCGACTAAATTTTAAGTTTAATTATTAAAATAACGCTTATTTTTAAATTGATTATTAAAATATAATTTTATAAAACGTATAAATCTCTAAAATCAAATAGTTTTCTTATAAAGAATTCAAATATTGTTCATACCAATTCTTTCATACAAATAAACGAGCACGATCGGCGATCATTAAACGTGAACCTAAAATTGAGTATTTTTTAAAATTGAATTTTAATATATTTATAGATAATATAATAGATTGATAAATTTATAAACAAGTATGAGCTGAATCGAATAATATACTTTCATCATAAAATTAACAATCTTCCTAGCGTAGAAAAATAATAACAATCGCCTAAATTATGAGAAACTGTAAAGGTTCTCACCTTAACCAAGGAAGCTACACGCAAAATCGAATACATCAATGTCTCGAAGAAAACTCATCGGGATAGAGCCGTTAATATTAATTATGTTTTAGTACTCCTCCACTATGTACACATCGTGTGTCCTCGAAGTATTTCAGCGACGCCTTCTTACTATAGGGACCTGACAGCGCTGTTATTATTATGATGGCCCCTTGAAAAATGGTCACAGGCTTACACTGGCATAACATCGCTGCACAATACGTCGATTTCCCTTACCCAATTATTTTAATAGCCCATTCACGACGAATGTATACGCGCTACAGTATTAAACGTCCGAAATGACTAAGTAAAAACACGTAACTTTGCACTTTAACAAAACCTTTATTGTGTATCCCGTTTACCTGCCAGACTAAAGCCACACATGGTACACTCCCACCCCCACTTGGTTGTTGTTTTTTTTTTGTACATTTTCAGTAGGTATGCATTTTTTATGTAACGAGTTGTGTAGGATATTGTCGTTTACATAATAGCTTGTAAAATGTTGGATATATA